GTGTTGTTTTGCTAACATAGAAAATGCTGAAATCAAAAACTCGTGTATATGAGTTTCCATATTATTGAAGCTATATATTCAGATAGTGTATTGTTGGGTGAAAAGATGGATGCATATGTAATTTAATTATTGTAATATTCCATTTCATATGGATTTTACCATTTTCCATTCCCAAGAACAAAGTGTAAGAGTTCATATTCCCATACAACTTTGCCAAAAGATAGTGTTGACAACATTTTGAATTTTTGTGAATTTATATGTGAAAAACAGAACTTATGAAAAATTATGAAAAATCTCTACTTATATTTTTTCTTGTTACATGTGATTTTAAGCATAATTTTCATGTTCTCTAAAGAAATCTTTATGTTCATATGTTTTTTCCATTATTTAAGTTTTTGGTCCTAACTTTTTCACTTTCATAGCTTTTATATATTAAAAATATTTCTCTTTATCTGTGATATACATTTTAAAACTTGTTTCCAAATTTGTCATTTGTCTTTTGAATTTAAATATATAGGTTTCATTATGTTTTTGTGATGACACCTTTTGCAGCTTATTTTTTTTCTTTTATTGCCTTTAGAATTTGAGTGTTAATTAGAAACCACATTGCTACATCTAAGTCATAAAGGTATTTTTCCAAGTTTACTCCTAGTATCTATATGGTTTCCATTTTTATGCTCATATCTCTTATCCATTTGAAGTTTATTTTCAGGTATGGTGCAAAGCATGGATTAATTTTATTATTTTTCCAAATAGAACTTTATTGATCCACTATTATTTTTTAAATTTCATTTTTACACAGTGACATAAAGTGCCACTTTTTAAATATAATCTCAGTAAGGAGTTTATTTTTAGATCCTGTGTTCTGTTCTAATTGTCAATTTATTCTTGTGGTAGAACTACATTTTTTAAATTATATACTCTTTAAAAATATTTTAGCATCTGATAAGTTTTTTTTACCTCAAATCACTTCTTTTTCACATTTTTCTTTACTATAGTTACATGTTTATTCTTCTAGAAAAGATTTAGAATGCATTTGTTTGGTATCAAAAAAGATGGTGATCTATTTATTAATATCACATTAATTTAAAAATTAGCTTAGGTGAAACTGATGTATTTGTGATGTTGAGATCTTATATCAAGAGCAAGTGATTTTTTCTACATGTTAAAGTACAATTTTGGACTTTCAGTAGTAATTTGAAATTTAATTACATAGATTTGCACATCTTTCCTAAGTTTACTCCTAAGTTTTCATCAGATTTGTTTCCTATTACAGATGTAGTTTTCTCTTTAATTATATCTTCAAATGCATATGTGAATGCTATTGATATTTGTATATTAATCATATATTGTGCTACCTTAGTGATTGTTTTTATTATTTGAATTCAGATTTCCAAGAATATTACTATTATATAATTTGTACAAAGATCTGTTGCCTTTTTACTCAATCAGTAAATATGCCTTCTTATCTAATTGTATAAAATGTCAACATTGCAATGTCAAAAAATATATAATGTTAAAATATTTATAATATTAAATAGTAAGGGAGATAGTGGCCTTCCCTAGAGTCTCAGTGGTAAAGAATCCACCTGCCAATGCAGGAGATGTGGGTTCCATCTCTGGTTTGAGAAGATATCCTGGGGAGAGAAATAGCAACTAACTCCCGTATTCTTGCCTGGAAAATCCAATGGACAGAGGAACCTGGCAAGCTATAGTCCATGGGGTTACAAAGAGCTGGACATGACTGAGGATGCCATATATATATATATATACAAACAACACATACAAACATTCACATAGATATAGATACAGATATATGGTGTGTAAGTTTGTATGTATTCTGAATATTTTTGAGTATTTTTATGAAGAACACATGAATTTTGTCACAGTAATTTCAGAATCTGTTGGGATTTGTTATATGGTTGTATTTCTTACAACTAAGGTGAATTACATTAATGGGTTTCTAAAACTGAACCATTTCTGTACTCAGACTATATGCAATCATTATGTATTATTTTCTTAATTTCTTTATTAAACTGCTCATTCAAATTTCATTTAAGATTTTACATTAATATTTATAAATGATATGAATCTATAGTGTTCTTCTCTGGATACCTTTATCATATTTAGGATTCAATATCATAACTTCATCCAGAAATAATTTGAAAATTTTATTACATTTGTTAAGGTACAGGACAATTTATGTAGCATTGTGATCACTTGATCTGTGAATTCATCAAGGCATGATGTGGTTTGTGGTAGAACAATTTATCATAAATCTCCATGTTTCTTCTATAGGAATGAGTCTAAATTTTCTTTCTCTATCAGGGTCAATTCAACTAACTTGAATTTTCCTAGCGTATTATCCATTTTATTTTCATTTTTAGTTTTCATATGAGGTTGTATAAAATAATCTCAGGTTTTCTAATTTTCCAGTTCATTGGTTATCTTTACCTTCATATTATTATTATATATAAAATATATAATATATAAAATTTATAAAAAATAAAATATATAATATAAAATATACAAAATTTTATATATTTATCATCCCTCTTGAGTCAGTTGGCTAATGGTTGTCCATTTTGTTAATTTTTTCAAAGAATCATCATTTAGCTTTATTCATTAGGTCTACTATTTCTTCTTTACTTTTCTAATGTCTGCTTTTGTCCTAGTTGTTTCCCTTCTTCTGTTGCTTTTGGTTTACATTTTTTACACTTCTTTGAGTGGGAAATTTCATTCCCCTATCTTTATTATATATTACTGATATAAATATTTAAAGCTGTGAATTCTTTGTTTCCTACCTTAAGTGTACCTTATATAATCTAATACAGTGTTTCATCAGTATTTTTAAAGAAATTCTACAATTTCAACTTTTTTAACAGAGTTATTTAATATCCAAATGGAAGAGCTTTTATATATATGCTAATTCAGATGCTGCAAGATTTAGGCCAAAGTTTTTAACTCATCAACCTATATGTAAAATTTGTTTCCTGTTATATGCAGAGGTATAAGAGCACCAGCCTTTCATGTGTGTGTGGTGGGGGTTGGATAGGTATGTGTATGTATGTTTCTCTCCATGCATACATATCATACATGTAACAATGCATACAATTAGCTTGGCAGTATTATACAATGATATAACTGTCTGATAAAATTTCATAACTCTGTTGGCTAACTGTCTCAATACAACTGCTCCACAGGACCCTGCACATTGTTGCATATGTCAGGTATAATATATTGTTAAATAGAAAGATTATAATATGTTGTTAAAATATTAATGAAAAGGGGAAAGCATGAGGGTCATGGAAAGGTCATTTTAAGGAGGATTCATGTGAATCCTCGTTGTGTTCATTTGAGAATTTAGGCAAGTTACTTGAATTCCACAAAACTAATTTCTTCATCTATTAATGTGTAGGCTTATTATATAAGCAATAACATTAACTTTGCTTTCCAAATCAAAAATCTATACTCTATTACCTGATCCTTTGATAAGTGATATATCTGTACCTTAAAGCATCTTAATACACACCAGAAACTTATAAAACAATCATTCTTATTTGCCTCTATCACTCAGAAATTAGCAGTAATTGTTTAAATGAATAAAGCAGGGACAGAATAGATCCAGCTGGTACCAAGCCTTCTTTAATCATTGTTTTCAACTTTATTTCCAACTGACCTTTAAAGTCTGCCCAGGAAGAGTGAAATTGATTGAAAAGAGACTCATCCCTTCTTCCCTCTACAACTGTGTTCGGAGTTGTTCTCGAAAAATGGCACTGAGGGAAAGTCAGGGGATGGAAGAGGTATGCATAGGGCAATAAATCCGCGAAACAAAGCTTTTAACTCGGTTTGGACTTTTCAGAATGATTTAGAACTGACCATGGCCATGACCATCAAAAGTAAATTTATGTCAAAGAATATGATTATTAAAAATCATAACTCCCAATTCATTCTATACCAACAAATGCCCAGAGGCCAACATTATTATTATTGTTTGACAAATGATTTTTTAAACCTGTTTCAATGTGACTTTTCTTAACCACTGCTCCCTGAAACAATTATTTGCAATGGTGTCTGTGTTTCCAAGTATGATGGTGATTTATCTCAAAGCCCACTGTTGCATATCATCTCTACTGCTAACACTCCTGTCCACATCACTCTCCTTTCTTGGCTAGATTACTGAAACAATCATTCAACCGATCCCCTTGTTTTGGCCCTTGTCAGGAGCTCTGGCTATTTTTCATAATGCAGCGAGAGTCATCCAGTTAGAACTGAAGTCAAATGGATCATTTAATTTCTCTTAGAATCCTACAGCAGTCTCTTCTCTTTCAGAATAGAAGTGTAAATCCTTCCAGTTTTTACAAGACCTCTGCAGTTTTAGCTCAGCTGCTCTCTAACCTCACCTTCTGCTACTCTCTACCTTGCTCATTCTGTACCAGCCACAATGATGTGCTGTTTCTTCTCTTAACTTTTCAAGCACTTTCCCATCTCATCTCATTTTCATCTGCAATTTCCTCTGCCCAGAATGCTCTTTACAATTATCTGCACATGGTACATGCTGCTCTCCCACTCTTTCAGGTCCTCCTGAAATGTTACCTTAATATGTAAGATATTCTGAGACCATTAAAATGTAAAATAGCAACGTCCTCCTCTCTCTAACTCTAGGACATTTCTCTCTCTAGCACTTACACAAATTAGCTTACTATCCCCACCTCCATTTTAGTTTTGCTTGTTTTTTCTTTGCTGGACGTTAGTTCCATGGGGCCAGAGAATTTTGTTTACTGGTATATCCACAGTGCCTAAAACTGTCCCTGGCACTAGTATACAGTCACATAAATAAACGGATATTGAGCATATACAAAAGAAATCCAACTTTGGACTTTGTGATTTTGTTTGCTAACGTGCAATAAGAGATAGCTCATCTCCTATAAAATGTATACTCCCTTTAGGCATTTCCACTGAGTTTAATCATGCCCACACTGCAAAATGTCAGCTATTACCTTGTCCACTTGACACGTCACATTTTGGAATTTGGGAGCAGTAGCCAACTCGGATGTTTGGATCAGTGGTAAAACACCACGGTGACTCAGCCCCATCTGGATTTCGGCAATAATTTTCTCTTAGGTCCCTATTGAGAATAAGCATGTTAATGTAAATTGCCAGGGTTTCTTACATTGGTGAAGTCAGTGTTATTACATTTCTAGAATCCCAGAATGTATGCATTCTATAAATAGAGCTCTACATTTTAGATTTGGGATAGTTTTAACAAGTTAAAATTCAGTATACACAGCTGACACTGCCCACATTACTGAAATAAATGCTGTCAGATGTCAAAATTCTTTTACTTCTACAGACCTGGAGTTTCACACAAATACTACTGCTTCATGAAAGAGAGAAATAGTACCACTTCATTATTCTCACTCATTTTCAAGACTTGAACTCTCAACTGTTACAATTTTTAAAAACTGGTCTGTTACTCATTGTATTTTCATGGATCATAATAATGTAGAAACAACATTCTCTTTGCAGAAGAAAGACTATTATAATTAACAGTCTTTAATTACCCTTGTTTAAAAATGAAGTTCTACCTATTGAAACATTTGCCACGGAAAACATATTTATTCTTTAAATTCTGTATTTCTTTGATTTATTTAATTTACCACATAGATTTCTTTTAATTACAAAGTAGTTCTTTCTTGATTTAGAGATATTACCTGAAATTTTATATTTCTGTAAAATTAAGGCTTAATTACAGTATAGAAAACCTATAGAAAAAGTTGTCGACATAGTACATGCACTTCCTTTATTTTATTAATGATATAGTTAGACATTTGGACTTGTGATAAGGGAAAAGTCTAAATTAATGTTATCTGTATGTAAAAGGATTTTACCTTAATACAAAGTTCACATTAAATAAAATGGGGAGTTCATGATTTGTTCCCCTGATAGTGCTCTCTAATTTGAAGAAAGTGTGTACTTTCTTTCCATAGATCTCTCTAATAATTTAACAAAATTAACATTCATTCTATAGAAAGGTACATTGTTTCACTTAGGCCCAATTAAAAATACTACACATTTAATACTAATCAGTTGACCATTAGAAACTGAAAACCATTTTTTAAAAAAGCTTGAGTTTGGTTATAAAATCAACAAGTAATAGTTTATCAAGCCAAAACAGAGCCTGACATAAGCTATGTTATTTAAGGTTCTGAGAACAGTGAGTGCCAATAGATTTGACCATTCTATAGCAAATGTTCTTATTTATAACCCACATTTAAACCTTTACTCTTCTTATAAAATCATAAAATTATTAACTGGAGAGATGAAGAAAATCTTTTCTTCTAACTAGTTTATACTCACATTTAAAAAGATTATGTAAAAAAAAAGATTATGTCAGTACAATATATGTGCACTGAATTTTATATAAAGTGTACAGAAATTTGCAATTTTAAATGAATAATTGCTTAGTTAATTTTGAGTTGTAATTTAAGGCAAGATAATTAAACATATATCTAAGGCTATCAAAAAACTTAAAGTTCCCCTTTTATAATCTGTATCTAGAAGCACCTCATTAATCTAGATTAAATCAGAAAGTCAAGGTTTGCTCAAATATTTTTTCTAAGTTTTTTCACCTCACTTGAAGAATCAGTTACAATTATTAAAACAAATTAATGATTGTATGATTCATGTACATCATCACAGGCAGTATTTTTCAGTTATAGTGCTTTAAAAATCATCATTTGTAAGGAATCTCAGTACTGGGGCAAACAGTGTTTGGTACAACCAGAGACACCTGACCAGTACTCCATTCTCTGCTAGCCCACAAACAGTAAATGCATCAATACTCAGAAAAATGATGCATCAGATTTTATGTGTTTTATAACACAACTCACTTTTTGTTTTTTCATATTTATGTTTATCTTGACCAAATAATTAATTAAGAAAGAATAGCTTGGTGGTTGTGGTCATTTAGTCACTAAGTCGTGTTCGACTCTTGCAACCCCATGGACTGTAGCCCGTGATTCTCCAGGCAAAAGTAATGGAGTGGGTTGCCATTTCCTTCTTCAGGGGATCCTCCCAACCCAGGGATCGAACCCGGGTCTACTGCATTGCAGGCAGAGTGTTTACCCACTGAGCTACAAGGAAAGCCTTCCCCCCAAAAGAAGAATAGCTTAAATTCCAATAATATATAGCAACTAAACTTTTGATCATTTTTTATTGTGAAACGTGTGGGTTCAATTTCTATAATGATTTTCTTTTTCTTACAGATTAAATTTGGTTCACATACACAATCTTGAGTATTACCAGTCATTAGAAGTTAACCAGAAGTGTGCATGGCACTGATACTGTCTTCTTTGTCTCTCTTACTATTCTTTTCTCATTTTCTTTGTTCTCTCTACTTTTTGTTTATTTCTGAGGTGTGAAACACATGGGTCAAAAATAGAGTGAATTGCTGTGAAGAAAATGAGGGAAATAAAGAGAGTGGCAACAATACACTTATTATAAAATAATTTTTAAAATACAATAAGTGAATATTTAGTATCTAAGCAAAGAACTCTGAATTGGTTTAAAAAAATTAATATAAAAAACCATAAACTATATCCCCTCTCCATTGAATGGGCCAACTAATTTCATAGTTCTCCATCTTGAAATGTTAAGCCCTCTTATTAAAAGTCAGTTACATAAAGCCAATATATGTTATTTATAGGTGCTATTTCAGCAAAGCCACTATGAATGACACGTGTGTTATAAATTTTAAAAGCAATCATTTTATGTTCCTAATAACAAGGTGGACAATTTAAAAACACATGGCATTGTGGCTGTCCAACAAAATTCAAGTGGTGAAGAAAAGCAGCCATGGGAAGACCATAACAAGTATATAACTGATATTCAAGGGCAGTTTCTTCAGTTTGATTCATCTATACAATTGTTTTACTTCCCTACCTGTTAAATGAAATTTTGAAACAATAAAAAAATTTCATATAAAACTATAAATTTTTTTTCAAGGCTGAAAACTCATCAGTTTACAATGTTGACTTAAATCAAAGTATGCCTTGAAATCTCCCCTAAAGTTATTATGAAAATTTAAGGAAGCACTAGTTTGAAAGTTTCCTGGTTGTCGTTACCACTAATTTGTTCATTAAATAGACCTGCAAGAACAAAGCTGTGATCAGAAACCTAAAGATGTTTTTCCCAAAGCATGGATGGTACATCAACCATCTGATTCAGAATCAGCAAGAATGACTGCTAAAATGTATTATTTGAGGTCCAAATTTCAGACCTGAAGAATCAAAAATTCAGGGTGGATGTATCTGCCTTTTAATTGCTAAATTTTCCCCAGGCACACTAAAGTTTAAGGATCACTAGCATTGAAATTATGAAAAATCAACTATTCTGCTTACTGAAATTTATAATATTTCCCTAATTTACTCACTTGCACTTGAAATTTTCAGGAGTTATGTCATGCTGGTGAGGATACTGGGAATCCCAACGCTGACAGGGAATTCCATTCCAAATGGTATTGATGGTGCCCCGGTAACCTTCTCCTTGACCTTGAATGCATTCAGTTGTTTGCATAGGGACATCTGTGTCATTCATAGTATTGTGGGCTATTGGTAAAAAGAAATATAAATTTAAATAAAATAATTTAATTTGTCATCTACCTCTTAAGAGTTCACTTGCATTTTATTTGTAGGATTTTCTGTCACATAAGTTTTTATAATAATTAAATGAAATAAAAAATTCAGTTTATCATTATTACTATCTCATTCAACCAAAAGGAGGAATTAAAACGGTGGACTCAACTTGTTGACATTTTAAAAATATTACTTGTCTCTAAGAAGATTTATTTCTTGCCTTTTTGTTTGTCCAATTTCATCGCTTACCATATCTGATAAAGATCCTGAAAATCTCAGTAAGAAAATATTTAAAGTAAAAAATTAAACTTACAAAACTTGAGCTCTCTCTTTGTCTTAAAATATACTCACTTGTACAAAATATAATTCAAAGTATTCTGGAGCAACTAAAATTCATATACCTTCTCAAAACATGCATGACAATGTTTATGTTTCCATGTAAACTCACCAGTTACCTTTAACCTAAATGGTTATTCAAGATGCCTCTGGATAAAACTCAAGTTGAAACCCTCTAGGATAGTTTAAAAAGTGAATAAATGTTTTTTATTCATCTATTCTGGAATTTGATGTATCATTTCTCCAAAGGAGAGGTCAGAATTAGGCATGTTTTCAGAGGCTAGGGATGTGTATAAAAATGTACCATATTTAAAGGTGTAAATACTTTTTAAGTGGCTCTTTAGCTTCATTTTTAATTTCTTTCTTTCTTGCAAATAATTATTACCTTATGTGGCTGAATGCTTTATTTCATCGAGTTCCTTGCAAAGGTAGTAGAGTCTACATTTGGAGTTGTTCTATGAAGCTTTGTGAAAAATAAGGATTAATTAATGACCATCTCAACCACTGGAATATTTTAAACACAGATTTCCACAAACTGCTCATTTAGTAATTTTTCTTTTAAAAAACTTCTTCTTCAGCTCATCTTAAAATGTGTTATTTCTTATGTATCTGCTTTAGGGAATAGAAATGCAGCTCAGAAACATCCTAAATTAAAAAGAAATCCAAATGGACATGAAAAAATGTTCACAGATTGACCCATAAAATGGGCATTGAGAGTGGATGACTTAGAAATTAGTATCTGTTGATATTGGCAATGTATATTGACTCAGGAGGGCTTCCCTCATAGCTCAGTTGGTAAAGAATCTGGATGCAATGCAGGAGACCCCAGTTTGATTCCTGGGTTGGGAAGAGCTCCTGGAGAAGGGAAAGGCTACCCACTCCAGTATTCTGGCCTGGAGAATTCCATGGACACAGTCCATCGTCGCAAAGACTTGGACACAACTGAGCAACTTTCACTTCACTTCATTGATTCAGGAAGAACAAATTTTTGAACTGAGAAATTACTTGTATAGAAGTTCATTCTATTTAAGTTCATTATGATTTTAATACTACCTGAAGTTCTTTGATGAAATAGAAAATAAAATAAATTTCATAGATTCTGAGGGTTAGAACTATGTTTCATTAAAACAAATGCTAGTAAGCTATCTTTTCTGATAATTTGAGTGGATTGTTAAATGATTTGAGGAGACTGGGTATGTGTGGGAAGCCTTTAAAGGGTGACAACTCTAAAACAGGTACTGACATATATATTTAATTATAAAACTACGGTGTCAAAAAAGACAAAAGGAATGTCCCCAGGAATCTGTCAGTTCATTAGCTTAACATTTTAAGAAGAAAACTTTTGATCCCCCACTTCTTGGACACAAGCTCCTGGGCAGTAAACTTGTGACCTCAGTCAGATCTCAGATTACTGACAATGGCACGAAGGTCAGAGTTAGGGCAGCCAGAGCAGAAACACTTCGGCTACTCTCATGGACTTCATCACCTGACTTGGGTACTACAGCTCTCTGACTTTCCTAGTTTTGGGTGTTTTTGTTTTGGGTGTTAGTGATCCATCCTTCTCAGTATCATTTTGGCACTATGAACTTGCAAGTGAAGAATCCAGTCAGCCAGGGCCACCTTTGGCTAAATATGGGCCTTGCACGCCCATCAGAGGTTAATACACTCTATTCCTTGTAACCCACTATGACTGTCTAGACATCAACCTAAACAATGTAAAAAGAGGAATGATAAAATTTAAAAGCTAGTAAAAGATAAATATTTTTCTAATTGAGGTTAAGTTTTCAAATTTTTGGAGTCCTGGTGAAAAGAAATACCTATATTACAAAAACTCTTAAGTCAAAGTAAAGACTATAAACTAAGCTATAAGAATATTGAGGAAAATATTTCTTTGCTGATGGATGCATTAAAATTTCAGTGTCAAGTTCAGAGACCAGAATTGTTTTACTGACCTTGCACCTTAACTGCAGAGGTTCCCAGAAAGTTTTAAAGAATTTGTTTTCACTTGAAAAGTAACTATCATAAAATCCTCATTTGAACAATTATGCTAAATATTTTTTCTGAACTTTTATTATTATATTTTAAAAATGATATAAACTTATTTTAAGGAGTCATTATTATTCACTAAAAGTGTAAATTAAAATGTTTAGATAAAAACTAAATTTTTGGATTTAGATTAAATAATTGGATTATTGAACAGATTCTAATTTGGAGGATTACCGAACAATTTCTAACTTTGAAATTATAAAAATTTACAGAATACAAGGAATTTTTGCACATTAGTAAAAATACAATATTGTACAGAATAAATATCATTTCATTAGGTCTTGTTATAAACTGAATATTTGTGTCTTCCTCAAATTCATATGTCAATATCCTAGTCCCCATGTTATAGTATTAGACAGTGGGGCCTTTGGCAAACGTTTAGGTCGTAAGGACAGAGCCGTCATAAATGGGGTTATAAGAGAGACCCTGCCGAGCTCCTTGCTTCTTCTACCATATGAAGACACTGGGAGGAGTTAGCCATCTGTGAACCAGGAATCAGCCCCTCTAGATACCAAACCTGCTGACACCTTGGCCTTGGACTTTCAGCCTCCAGATTCATGAGAACTATATTTCTGTTGTTTAGAATCTACCACGTCTATGGTATTCTCTTATAGCAGCCTGAAATAAGTCTGGCCCTATCAAGATGTAAAGAATCTAAATAACATTATTGTTTCTTACTCTTATTTTAATAAGTGTCTATAACTTTGAAATATGTAACCTGAAACAACTTGATTTTACTTATTGTGGTGTTTTAATCCAGTAGAAATATTTTTTATTATTTAACTACAAACTATCAATGTTTATATAGTATTTTTGTTTACTTTAAAAGTACCCTCTGAAGTCAGTGAATCTGTATTTATCCATTTCAGCTGCTAGAAGAGGCCCCATAAACAAAGCTACATAATTCTGATGGCAATGTATAGAATAAATAATATAAGCAAAAAAAGATATATTAGTACAACAAGGTAACTACATAGCTTTCATTAATTAGTAACAGTTATTGTGAGACTTTATGTAGCTATTTAATAAATATTATTTGAGGGGGACCATGAATGATTTGTCCATAGACCATTTAACTGATATAAATGTTTGATCTCTGCCGCCTACATGAATACTTATGATTCAAACAAAAGGAATTATTCCTGGTCTGCAATAAAATAGACTCCCTCAGCTGTCCTACTACATAAACATCAAAACTTGGAGCAAAAACAAAACAAATGTTTCATGCTATTTGATTTGAAAGGGCTGTTAAATGTTGGGAAATCTATTCTTTTGGACTTAATACTTAAACATTAGACCTGAATGAGGGAAGGCTTTGAGGAGTCTCCAGTGGCCTAGCATAGTGTTAAGAAGCACAGAACCATCCCCAGTATTAGCTGAAGATTATCAAGTTTAGCCAAAGCAATATGTTTTTAAAATATTACATCTCAACATCCAGAAATTTTTCTGCAAGTATGTCTACCAGGCTTACACTGAAAATACCAGGAACTCTTCTGAGAGTTTCTAACAAATAAAACATTTTGCCAGGGGTGTAAGTAGTGGTCACCCTTTGTAAGCAGATGCAAAGATATTTATTTGTATGATCCTCAGTGGCCTGTGAGTGAAGGAATGTTTTTCTTTGATGACTGACTCAAAATTTTCTATTTGGAAATGCTTTAAGGAAAACAACATTTGCTATTGAAAAATTTCACTGTCTTGTTAGAACACGATCAAATACAATGGGTGTCTCCTGGAACATTAATTTCACTTTGCTGATATGGATGTGCTGTGATCTTATTATTATACTACTTGGTAGAGAATTTTAAGGTCTGAATAGATTGTTTGAGAGAATGAACATTAATTGTTATGTAATTGCTAGAAAAACCCTCTTGCCTCCAAGACAATGTATAATAAATTCACCCTTTTTCTCTGTTAAAGGCTAGCCAAGTCCTTGCAGACAGACCACGAGGCCCTGACAGAGGTCTGTGAGAGGCAATGGAGAATGTGAGTACACACGTATATGCCAGAAAGCCACACCCAGGCTCCATAACTCTTACATGGACAATTAGTAAATCTTTACATTTACAGTCCCCTTAGTCCTCCAAAAAATCTGTGTTGACAAGCTATTGCTGTTCTTTTGCCTATAGCTAAGAACAAGTTGCTTCATAAGCCATTGGCTAAATACCTGATTATTCTTAGAATAATTCAACCCAACCTACTTCTTATTCCCAGCTACTGAAGAGCAATTGAAATGTAGGATTTACTTTACGATGGTCCCCGGATATTTAGAACAATGTGTAAAGCTACTATCCCATCATCAGACTTCTGCTCTTTGGGCCGCAAAGGGCAGGATAAGGCTCAATGTAAATTTAAAGAGCTCCTTGTTTTAAACTGTCGTGAGAGAATAGTATAAAGACCTCCAAAACACAAACCTCAAATTGCTTCCATGTTTTCTTTCCATGTGAACCTGGAATTCACGTCTGAAACTTTCCCCTGGACTTTATCCAATTCTTTTCTGTTGTAAAATGCTCAGGACAAGACTTTCATGAAAGGGCTTCAATTTTATTCTCTTATTCCTTAGAAGATGACTTGGAAAAGACCTCCAGTACAAG